TTGGTCTTCCTGGAGCAGGTGTTGCCCTGCACCAGCCCTGGCTACGAACCCATGCACAGGGGAAATCCTCACGTGCATTTCTTCTTCTGGTAGCTTCTGAGCTATTTCCCAGGATTTGGTGCTGACCCTGACACAAGGCTCTGTCCCTAATGCTCTCCTGTACCCCACTGGCTCCTCCTCCTCCTGTGTTCTCCTCAGGCCTGCTCTGGTGGCTACGTCAGACCTGAGACATCAAACTGAGGACCCACATGAGTGGCTGTGCAGTTCTTCAGATCCTTCTGCCCCAGCACTGCCCTTGCCTGGCTTTGGGAGGTAGAGGGGAACACGTGGCTGAATGACGGAACTCGGCCAGCCTGTGTGTCTCTGAGCAATACCCCCCTTAACCTGTTCTGTCCTTTCCAGTTTGAAGCTTCCAGAAAGTAGAGTCAGTCCAGGGGAGGGTCCAGGCCATGTCCTTGACACTCTCAGTTCTGATTCCTTGTAAGTGGCTTCTTACTAGTCGAACATGATCCTGGCTTCTCCTGGCTTTTCCTGGCAGGACTGCCCGGGTGTTTTCTCAGCTGGCCTAGACTTGATGGAGATGTATGGCCGGAACCCAGCCCACTACGCTGAGTACTGGAAGGCTGTGCAGGAGCTGTGGCTGAGGCTCTACTTGTCCAAGCTGATCATAATGTCCGCCATCAATGTGAGTGCCCCCACCCTCCCCCTGGGGACACTCAGGCGCTGACCTTCCTGGGCCAGACAGACCTAGCAGAAAAAAAGCCACTTGGGTGGGAGCAGGGCCTGGTGGGCTGGAATGAGCCCTGAACAGACCAACACTTGGGAGGTGATATTCTGACCTGACCTTGGAAAGATGGAGCAGTAGAGAAAGGATTGGGGTTCGACTTAATAAAAGCAGGGTTCTTGTGGGGTGGTGGTGCACACCTTTAATCCCAGCACAGAGGCCGAGTGAGTTCCAGGACTACACAGGAAACCCTGTCTTGGGAGGGGGAAAATAACACAAAAAGAAATGGGAAAAAAAAAGGGTCAGGGTTCTCTGAGGGGATAGCTCTAAGGATCAGAGCTACAGGAATGAAAAGGGAGGACTGAAGAGAAGGTTAGTTTAGAGATACACAAGCCTGGGGAAGAGGCCTGTCCCAGCGTGGGGGCACACATTGCAGACACTGCCATTTGGGGTTCCCAGGCATCCTGGTAGGAATGACCACCAGGAACAACTTCGTGGCCTGACAGCTCTGTCTAAATACTCGTCTTGAACATTAGCATCAGATAAAAGCTAGAAAAGGGAGAGGCAACTTGCTGACCTAAGGGTCATTTTTTGGCCCCCTAAAAGCTAAAGAGCCACATGTGAAGGCCTTTGAGCCCATGGGTAAAACTTAGGCCTCTTAAGATCTCCGCTGCTGGTCCCTGGTTGGCCAGTCTCAGTTTACATACCTATCGGGCAGACTTGGCCCAGATCAGCGCAGTGCCAAGAGCTCATGCCCACCCTCAGCCCTGTTTAGGGAATATTACTAGGAACCGGTGGAACACCTACAGACCAAGGCTCTGCTTCTCTGTACAGGGTGCTTCTCCAGCTGGAGGCTGCCTCATAGCTCTTACCTGTGACTACAGGATTATGGCTGACAACCCCAAGTACACCATAGGATTAAATGAGACCCTGCTGGGCATTGTTGCCCCCTTCTGGTAAGACGAGGGACTGCACTCATACTCTACTGGACAACACACACACACACACACACACACACACACATCCCACCACCGCCAGCAGCACTAAGGTGAAGGATGTCCTCATTCCAGGTTCAAAGACAACTTTGTGAACACCATTGGGCACCGAGCAGCAGAGCGTGCCCTTCAGCTGGGGATGCTCTTCCCACCAGCAGAGGCCCTCAAGGTGGGTGTGGTGGACGAGGTGGTGCCTGAGGACCAGGTATTCAGCAAGACTCGCTCAGTCATGGCCCAGTGGCTGGCCATTCCAGGTGAGAAGCAAGCAGCGGGCAGCTTTGGGGCAAGTGGTTAAAGGAAGATGGATCACATTCTGGTGACCCATCCTGATGAAACCAAAAGTTCTCCCAAGTCAGGTTCTGTGAATGTAGGCTGCGCTGTTTATCTGCTCCGTGCTGCTGTGGAGCAGGGCTCTTAGAGAGGGGGAAGCCATCAGGAACACACACAGGCTCTTAGAGAAGGGGGAAGCCGTCAGGAACACACACAGGCTCTTACAGAGGGGGAAGCCATCAGGAACACACACAGGCTCTTAGAGAAGGGGGAAGCCGTCAGGAACACACACAGGCTCTTACAGAAGGGGAAGCCATCAGGAACACACCCAGGCTCTTAGAGAAGGGGAAGCCATCAGGAACATACACAGGCTCTTAGAGAAAGGGGAAGCCATCAGGAACACACACAGGCTCTTACAGAGGGGGAAGCCATCAGGAACACACACAGGCTCTTATAGAGGGGGAAGCCATCAGGAACACACACAAGCTCTTACAGAAGGGGAAGCCATCAGGAACACACACAGGCTCTTACAGAGGGGGAAGCCATCAGGAACACACACAGGCTCTTAGAGAAGGGGAAGCCATCAGGAACACACACAGGCTCTTAGAGAAGGGGAAGCCATCAGGAACATAGCTGCACCCTGTGAAACTGCAGGGGCACCAAGACTTTGGTGTTTGACTCTTTTAAGACAGGGTCTCACTGTGTAGCTAAGATTTCCCTGAAGCAACCTACTTAACCCATGTCTTCAAATTTGGAATCCCCCTGCCTCCACTTCTCCATGTTGAGATACAGTAATGTACCACCAGTTAAGACACTAAAACTTTAATGTCATGTATGTCCCAAATGTTACAAAGTATTCTTTTGAATATCCCTGAAAAGAGCCTTCTGGATGGACCTCCTTGGAGTCAAGTAGCCAGTCTCTACATCCACAAGCAAGTATCTACTGATACAGAAATGTGGTCAATAATACAATTCAACGAAAATGGTGTGTTGGTTATTTGAGATGCTGGAGATGGAACTCAGGGCATTGTGCATGTTCTCTACGATTGACCTGTGTGCCCAGCCCTAAAAATGACAGTAAAAAAATTTTTGGACTGAGAGAGATGGCTCAGAGGTTAAGAGCACTGACTGCTCTTCCACAGGCCCTGAGTTCAATTCTCAGCAACCACATGGTGGCTCACAACCATCTATAATGAGATCTGGTGCCCTCTTCTGGCCTACAGGCATATGCACAAGCAGAGCACTGTATACATAATAAATAAACCTTTAAAAGGTCATACCTGTTTTTTTGTTTTTTTAAGGCAAGCAGGCATAGTGGCATGTGACTATAATCCTAGCACCCAGGGGACTGAAAAAGACCTACAAGTTAAAGACCACCCTGGAGCAGCAATAACAAACTCTTACAGTTCCCTCCTGTCTGCTTCTACGTTGTATTTTTGTTCGTTTTGACAAGGTGTTCATTTCAGGCTGACCTTGAACTCCCTATCCCGCCGTAGCTGACACCCAGCTCTGTGATTTTCTGAGAGCCTGTGTTTCAACACCTGCAGAAAATGTAGAACAGCAGGAACGGCCCCACATTCTCTGAAGGTGAATTTCACAAGTAGCCCCATTTTCTTTAGACCATTCTCGGCAGCTGACCAAGAGCATGACGCGAAAGGCCACGGCAGACAACCTGATCAAGCAGCGGGAGGCTGACATCCAGTATTTCGTCAGCTTCATCTCCCGAGACTCTATCCAGAAGTCCCTGCAAGTGTACTTGGAAAAGCTCAAGCAAAAGAGGGGCTAAAGCCCCACAGATGTTTGGTCACGCGTGCCTTCTGGGGTCTCCCTGGTCCCAAGGATTATAAACAAGGTATTTTTCAACTTAAAAATTCTTAGCTTTGTGTTCCTGACCTTAAAAATGTCCTGTTCAGGAAGGAGAGGTGGCTTGGTGGTTAAGAGCACTGACTGCTCTTGCACAGAACCCAGGTTCAATTCCCAGAACCCACGTGGTGGCTCATAACCCTCTGTAACTCCAGGAGCCAGTGCCCTCTCTGCTCCAAGGACACTGCATGCACATGGTACACATACACACATACAGACACACACAGAGACACACACACAGTTTTTTTTTAAGCAGTCCTGTTAGCAGGAGGGATGGGTCTGTCAATAAAGTGGTCACCATGCCATCGTGAGCTTGATAAGAAGCAAGTCATGGTGGGTGCACTGTAATCCAGTACTGGGTAGACAGGAACAGGCAGATCCCTAGGATCCTCTGGCCTAATTAGTGAGTGCCAGTGGGACACCTTGTCTCAAAACAAGGCAGATACCCCTTGACCTCTGGCTATCCATAGTCACACGCTCATCCAAAGAAGCTGTTCCTTGAAGCCTACCACCTTACAGCTCCAACCACAAGCACCCTTCTGCCTGGTGAACACAAAACGTCACACTGCTTGTCCATCTTAAAGCAGAATTGTGAACAATGTCTGTAGGTTGGCCTATCCTTGGCCTTTTACTGGCTGCCTTTTTGGAACCTTTAAGGCCAGACAGTCTCTGTCCCCAGTTATCTACTAAGATCGCCGGAGGAAATGTAAGGGCATGTACATTTTCATTTAGAAAGAACAGACAGCTATCAGAAGAACCTGAGGAACAGGAATGTGGAGGAGGACTAAAGGGTTGTTACCTTCCTGTGACCACGCCACTGTTCCTGCCCTAGATGAGGACTGCCTCTCCTCCCTCAACCTCTGCGTACTGGGGACCAAACCCTGGGCTTCGTGCATGCTAGGCTAGCACTGCCAACTGAGCCGTGTGCTCAGCCCAGTACTGCTTATTCAGTGCAAAGTCCTGAATCGTGCGTAGATTTTGCAAGAGCCAGACTTGTAGGCTGAGAATGAGGTTTGATTGAGCACCTACCTAGCACGTTCTGGTCCTTGGTTCAATTCCCAGAAATGCTAAAACAAACAAACAAACTTTCCTAACTCATCACAAGGGGTTTTTTCTATGTGACTCAGACCAATTTCTCTAATGCCACTAAAGATATTTTATTGACCTCCATAGACACACACAAAAATAAATACACACACACAAAGATGAGAAGTTTTAACAACCAGAAACCTCACGAGAGTCTTATGTCCACGGGACAATTTCCTGCTCCTAAAGTGATGGCCCACCCGAGCATAAACCTCCATCCTCAGGGCCTTGCCCAGGACTCCAGGGAAGAAGCTACATAAGACCATAAGACTCCTTTGAAGGGCTCAACCCAAGCACGGCGTGGGCTCTGGACAGGACTTGAGTGCCAAGCAGGTGCCTTTGTTTTGCTGTGTGGGGTTCCTCCCCAGAAAGTTCCAGAACAGCTCACACACTGGGTGGGTGCAGCCTCCCTTGCTCCTGCAGAGCAAGATAAGAACCCAGCCTCTGCTTCAGATGAGTGTGTCAGGATCCCTGAAGGGCAGAATGAGCACGGGAAGTGTTTGAAGTTTGTACAAAGGAAATAAGGACAGGGAACTGGCATGGTCTAGAAGTGACCGGTTTCCACCAGGCTGGGAAGTGGACAAGCTAAGCCATCCATTTCCTTGAGAGCAATGGAAAGAGATCTACTGGGCATTAAGACCAAGTTTTACAGCCTAGGAACCGAGGTCTCAGAAGGCACAGAGGCCTCATCCAACGTGTGGGTAATGGTAAGAGCGGCTTGTTCACTAAGCATGCAGTTAGTGCGTGCTGCTCCGGTGCTTTCCACGGGTTCTCCACAGCAGCCCTATGAGGTAGATCACGTGATGTCAGCACTCCTTACAGACAGGAAACAGGCTCCCAGTAATCCTGTAATGTGCCCATGGCCACTGTCCACACCAGCTGGCCCTGCCCTGTATTCTCAGTGGGTGGGTGGCCCGCCACCCAGTGATCCATTATGATGCTATTCCTTAGGGACAGAGTCTGCAGGTGGCATATCCTGGCCGGGCCTCAGCTGTCAGTGAGACTTGAAGGTCACTTCCACAGGAAAATGGTCGCTGATGGCAAGAGCCTGGAAGGAGAGGGGTGGAGCCTCAGCAGTTCAGCAGAGAAACATGTCCCAGCTGAGAAGGGGGATGGTAAAGTCCGGGTGGCCACCCGTGAGTCTCATGGTGCCCCCATGTGGCAAAGGAACAGAAATATACCAACGGTCCCTTCCTGGGGGACTGGCACGAAGGATCCTTGGCTATGGCTGCCTTTGTAGAGGGAACAGCAGTGTAAACTCACGGCAAGTATTTCTGTGAGCCTCTCCTGAGTGGGCTGGTGTGTCTACCGGGTCCCTCTTCATGAGCCCAACCCCACACTCACCTGCGTCTGATCTAGGCCCAGTTCCTCCTGAAAGTTATGAACAGCGGCTGACTGGGGCTTCAGGCTCCTGCGCAGGTGGGCGCCACTCACTACGATCCTATCGTAGGCACAGTCGGAGTTGCCCACTGTGGTGTCCGCACTGTCAGGGATGAGCCACTTAAACACCTCACTGCTGCGCAGGCGGATCGATACCCAGTCGTGGGCCTTGACGTACTTGCAGTCGGCATTAAAGTCGCCCAGAAACAGCATGTCCTGTGGGCAAGCACAGCGGTAAATCAGGGCGCAGTGGTCCAGACCTGAGCACACCTTTAGTATTCTGGGATGGGAGTTAGGGAGCGGGGGAGGGGGTGGCCTACATCGGTGTTCCACTTGTCAATCACATCGAGGTACACATCGTAGAGGGCATCGATCTCTGCCACTGCCTGGTGCGGTGCTGCATGCAGGGGGATCAGCACGAGCTCCTTGGCGGCTGTAGAAGGGAGGTGGGAGCATGAGATTCATGGACAGCCTGGCAGAGGCAGGTCTGGGAGAGGGCAGCATCAGCCTCACCAGAGCTAGGAGCTGAGAATTTGACCACAAAAGGTTCCCGGCTGAAGGCATCCTCTGGGTCTGGGTACTGGTATGTGCTCACAACCGACACCGCATCTTTCCTGGGAGCAGAGGACCAAGTGGTCTGCGGAGCTGGTCACCCCTGCCAGTGTCCCCTCCCGTCACCCCACCCCTCACCTGTAGACAAACAGATACATCTCCTTGTATTGGTCACGTCCAAGTGGCTTGCTGCTCACAAAACCGTACTTGTGCTTGGACACTCTGTGGAGAGATGCGCCAGTCCCTGGGTCAAGACACCAAACCAAGCTTGTGATTGTGGCTGGGGTTGTGGTGCCCGGCCCTGCCACACCTGTTAATTTGCTCCATGAGCAAGGACACTGCACTCAGGTCTGGGTCTCGTACCTCCTGCACCAGGGCGATGTCATAGCCAGCCAGGATCTGAAGGAAGAACCCACAGGTACACTGTCCCAATCAGCCTAATTGCCCAGAGCCTAGCTCCTAGTCCCATCTTGTGCCCCACCTCCCACCCCCCCGCCCCCATAACCCTCATCCCGTTCCTCTGCTACCCCACAGGGCCTCACCTGTGCTATGACACTGCCGCAGTCTGGATCTGACACTTTGCTGTCACCAAAGCTCTGAATGTTGAAGGCTCCAATACGTAGCGCTGTGGCCCCCATGGCCCCCAGTGCCCAAAGTGCTGTCAGCAACGCCCAGGGCCAACCCATGGCAAAGCAGGAAGCCTGGAGACAGGAATGTCCCAGAGTAACACCAACCCATACCAGGCCAAAGCACAGCTGTAACCAACTAGGTCTGGCGCCCACATTGCTCTGCATCCCTGCATTCTCCATGTTTCTTCAGTGTGTACGTGTGTGGGCTGGGGAGGGGGGCATATGATGACCTCTCATTCCAAGGATGGGAGGCCTCTGTTCCCACCCAGCCTCCAGCCCAGCCCCTAGACTTACCTGGGTTGTGAATAAGGTGCTATCAAAAACTCAAGGGTCCTGAGTCAGTCAGAGAGATTCAATCCAGATTAAGGGCCTCACGTGGCCCAAGATGAACTGCAGTCTTGGATACAGTAGCTCTGGTTCCAAAGCACCCACAGGTATTTGAAGCCCTAGACCAGGAAGGGGCTGGACTACAACAGGAACCGCCCCTTCCATGGGGTGGATTCCAGACCTGGCTCCCATTCCAGAGACCCGAGAGACAGGGCATATGCCAAACCAGTTCCACTTACTTAGAATCATGGCAGAAGCCCCTGGCAGCCCCCTAGAAGAATCTCAGCAGCACTACAATGAGGGACAACCATGCCCACGGCCAGCCTCACTCGTCTCCACCTCTGAAACTAGATGGCCCAGAATAAGTTGCCTTGAGTTGCAGCCCATCAGGGAAACAGGATAATGAATCAGGAGACCAGCCCTAGCCTGCTAACTTCTCCTGCAGCTTCTCCAACACCTGCCCATCACAGAGGAAAGCATCAGCTACTCAGGCTGATCCAGAGTCCTAGGTCTTTAGACCAACCCCTAGCCCCCTGCAGTCCCTGATATGACAGGTGAGAAGGAACATCTCACACCCAAGCAGGCCTGTGAAAGCTGGAGTCCGGGATCCAGCCGGGTAGGACAGCATCAAGAGGCGTCTGTCAACATGCCAGAGACACCTACGCGCCTTGAGGCGCCACCAGGGCTGCAAGCCAAGTTTGTGGCTAAAGGGTACCTATGAAGGCAGTGGTGCCAGCTAGAGGCTGCCTCAACCTTAACATCACAAGCTGCAGATTTTCATGTTTTATTGTAAAGCAAAAAACAAACAAAAACCCTACATATCCACAGTCTCTCAGCTCCTCTGGGCCTGAACTTCAGTCTTCTGAGCGGGCAGGTGTGGGCAGGCACTTGGGTCCTCACTCCACCACAGCAGAGGCTTTCAAGCTACACGATGACAGTCTGCACCTCAAGTTGACCCTCTGGTGAAGCAATGACCAGCTCTCCTCCATGCTCCAGGATCTCTATGTCCTCTGATGACACCATTGTCACAGTGGCCTGTTCAGCACTGTTTGGACCTGCACGTGCTGTAAGCACAGTGCCCTCACTGATTGCTGAAGCCAGTGTCATGGCCACTTGTTCAGTGAGACTCTCAGGAGTGGCAATGGTGATTGTGTCAGCAGCAGCTGCCTCTGAGCCCAGTGCTGCCTCCTGGTCCATGGTCACATTCTGCACAATGATCTGGTGCCCAGCACCAGCCTGGTGCACAATCTGCTGTACCACCTTCATGATGTGACTGTCCACCTGCAAGGACCACAGTTCAGCTTGAGGGACAGCTCAGCAGCCTGATGATCCTCCCTTACCTCCCCTAGACCCTCACCTCTGTCTGGGTGCCCTCGATGATCTCAGTGGCTTCACTGGTCTCTGTGTCATCTGCAGTAGCCTGGAAAGCCAATTAGGTCAGCCTGGGCTGGCCCGAGTCCCACTGCCCCCCGCCCTGTACCTACCTCAATAATGTACTCCTGGGTGTCAGCCACCACCGAGGAGAATTCCACCAGCACGGTGTGGGGGTCTTCTGCCAGCACAGTGGCAGCCGCAGAGGGGCTCTCCTCAGATACCAGCAACTCCTCCACTTCCAGCAGGCAACCCCCTGCCAACAGGGAAGCTCAGCTCAGTCAGTCAGGGACAACTGACCCCAGCCCTCACCCTCTCCTGCCACCCGTGGCTCAGACCTTTGGTGCGCAGGTGCCGGTTGAGTGTGCCGTGCTCTGCGAAGCCACGGCCACACTTGTAGCATTTGAAAGGCTTCTCGCCCGTGTGGTGCCTCACATGCCGTACCAGTGAGCCCTTCTCCCGGAAGCCTCGGCTGCAGAACTGGCACACGTGGGGCTTCTCTTCTAGGTGTGTCCGGAAGTGCACCTGCTGGGCATTCTAGGGAAACCTTTCCGTGACAGCTTGTCCTCAACCATAGCCCCCACCCCCAGGTCTAGGCTGGGAAGAAGGTGAAAGGGGACACAGCCAGACCCCCAGTTAAGACAATGGAAGGTGGGTACAAGCATAAGGATTGCAGGACCAAAGGCTTACCTTGGTTTTGTAACGCTTGCCACACTGGGGACAAGGGAAAGGCCTCTCGTCTGAGTGGACACGTCGGTGGCCCCGCACATGAGCGATGGTCTTATAAAGCTTCCCACAGTCTCCACAGCGGAAGCGGCGCTCATGCACGTGCACCTCCTGGTGTTTCTTGAGCAGGTAGGCTTTGGGGAAGGCCTTGCCACACTGTGTGCAGGTGAATGGCCTCGGCTCTGAAGCCACACTCAGCATTAGGCCATTTTCACCAGCCACAAGCCCACTAGTTGCCAGCCCACAGGCCTACTCTCCCTGCTACTCACCTATATGACCTCTCTTGTGGGCCTCCAAGGTAGCTGCTGTTGGGAAAGTCTCACTGCACTGAGGGCATGGGTGTGTCCTAGGCACCTTTGAAGCTTCACTGGCCACCTGCTGGGGGACCAGAGACCAACCACTAGCACCTCCTGTAACTACACTCGGAAGGTGCCAAACACAAGAGCCAGCCCTCTTCTCTCTTGGCCTTATGGCCTTAGGTAAAGAAATTAATAGAGAACAAAATCACAGCAGAAAGCAATGCGCTTTTCAAGCCAGGCACAGAGGTGCATGTTCCCGAGTCCAGTATTCAGCAGAACCAGGAGGATCAAAAACTGAGGCCAACAATGGCTCCATAGTAAATTTGGGACACCCTGGGTTACATTAGACTGTGTCTTAAAAGAATAAAAAAGCTAAGTGCATTAGGAGGTGGCAGCCCCTTCTACCCCCAGCATGCTAATCAGACACTGGGCGAACCTCACAGAAAGATCATGCCAGTAATGGAAACCTACTGTCTCTATCTGCTCCACTTCCAGCAGTGGCAGTTCCGGGGGTCCCTCTCCCAGGGACTGGGGACTGGACTCAGAGGGAGGGGCTGGCTCCAGAGTACTCTCCTCTCCAGCAACCCGCTCGAGGACAATGCCAGAATTCTGCATGGCCTGATGAAGCAGATTCTCACGGCTGTTCTCGCTGGAACAGGGGAGCTCCTCAGGGTCTGGGGGCTGTAAGGGAGGTAGGGGGAAAGAAGGAAGGACGGAGGCCTGTCAGGCAGCCCAGTACAGGGTACCCATTCTCACCCACGCCACATGGCAACCCCATGGTGCATTGCCAGCTGCCTGTTCTCCCTGACTAAATTCCAGCTCATTCTCCCTGGACTTCACCTCAAACCCTGGCAGCTTCCCTGCCTGCACACGCCATCTAAGGAGCTCTCCCCACAACCCAAGTGCCTCCCAGGGTAGGGTGAGCTGTAACTCCTGGACCTGCTGCAGGCAGTTTCTGAGTCCTAGCACTGTGTGATCAAAGGGCAGAGCAGCACCTACCTCAGGAGCAAGGGCCTTCATGCCCAGGGGAAGCTCCTGCATCTGAACATGGACTTCATGGATGACAGTGCCCTTGGCATCTGTAACCAGGTGAATCACAGGCGATGACTCCATGGGGTCTCCTGTCACTGATGATGTAACTGACCCCACAGTGGAGGCACTGGACCCTTTAAGGAAAAGTTCAATGAGTCCTTGAAGAGCCCGGCAGCCAATTTTGGCAACAGCTGTCCCAAGAACTCAGGCTGCCTACCCACCAAGCTGACCTGCAGGCACTTCCTCTTTGCCCACAACTGTGTCCTTGCTCATGCTGAAGCGGATCTTCTCTGTGCATGGGGTAAGAGACTTCAGGTGCCTAGTCAGCGCGCCTGACTCCCTAAAGCTCTTCCCACACTTGGCACACTTATAAGGGCGCTCATCTGTGAAAGGACAATCAGCCCTCAGTGTGGCACAGTGTCCTGTGTTTAGGGGACACAAGGCATGGAGCCCCGTCTCTTCATCCAAGGACACAGGCCAGCTGTAGGGTGCCCCCAGAGCCTGTCCACAGGCTACTTAGTGTAGCTCTGACCCCACTTCACTCACCAGTGTGCCGCCTGTGGTGCCGGATAAGCGAGCCCTTGGTCCGAAAGGAAGCACCACAGAGCTTGCACTCATGGTCCTTGCGGCTGCTGTGCGTTACCATGTGGGCCTTGAGGATGCTGCCCTGTGGGGGAGGGGCAGTAAGGCTCAAGGAACCTCACTGGACAGGAGTAGGCAGGGGAGCCAACGGGCCTTGGCCCCAGGGGCTCACCGTTTTGAAGGTCTTGTGACATAGCATGCACACGTAGCGGCCTTCCTTGTTCACCAGCAGCTTGACTTGGGCCTGCTCGCCCTCCCCAATAAGCCCAAGTTCCTGATGGTTAGGACTGCCTGGAACCTCTGCCATCTCGCCATCCCCTGGCTCTGCCTCGGCAGCCACAATGACCTCTTTGATGTGCCCACTTCCTGAGGAGAGGCAAGTTAACATAAGCCTCAAGACCTATCACTACTATAGGCCCTGCCCATGGGGATCCCTCCACAGGAGTCCACAGGAAAGCCACACAACTGTCTAGACCACACACCACCCCAGGGCCTAGAGCCTGAATCCAGTCTGCACTGAGGGAAATCTATGCAGCACCTATTAGAGGCAGCCTGACATGTGCCTGACCACGTTCGGGTCAGTAGAGCTGCCTGTAGCTCAGGGCCCCAATGTGGGCATTCTCCATAAGATATCCATCCCTAAAGCAAGAGACACGGGGGTTTTACACCCGGATCCTCGGGTAAATAGGCAGTGAACATTCTAGTTCAGCTCCCTGCGTTTTTCTGCTGGGTGGCTCCAGTTTCACCAATACAAAGAAAAGATAGATCTGGGAGCTGCCCGATCCCTGTCCAGACCTGACTGGAGAAACTGGACATCTGAGATGGCGAGAGAAAGGAAGTCAGGTTTCTGCACTTCTCACAGGATGCTTTGGAATCTGACAGTGTGCAAAGCCATACTATAAACACACTTCACATTTTCTCCTCATGAAAGCGGTGAGTGGGAACTAGCTGTGAAACCTTCCCATCCAGCTGGTCTTGTTGTGACAAGCTGTTCTCTCAAAACAGAATGAGTGAGCACCATGACTCAAACAATTAAGGGTATTTCTCACCCGTGCTCCAGCCCAGTGCTCCCAAAGGACAGAGGCCTGATGGGTGAGGAGTACAGGTGCACTGGCCCAAGAGGAAACACGTCTGCTAGGCCAGATGCCAAGAGCCTAGTGCTGATACAGCCACTCCATGCAGCCCTCACCACCTTTTCTTACCCAGGTCACCAGAAATGCTGGTGACCCTGACTCCTCTCCCCTTGGGGTGCCTACAAAAGGTACAGGAGAAGCAGAGGGTCCCTGAAGTAAGGACTGCTGTGCTAAACAAAAGCTTGAATACTGGGAGTGGGCGGGAAAGGACCCAGCTGGCAGAGCCTGATTATACAACAGAACCCAGTGAACTTGTTTTCCCAAATAACACCTCCCACTACAGAAACTAAACTCTGTGTCAGAGCAGGAGCAGGGCCCCACCCCCACATGACAACATTCCTAAGTCTGATTGTCAAGGAGTGAGTTTCCTGTTGCAGGAACATTGAGAAAGGCATTGGAAAGCCAGACAGGTGTCCAGGTGCCTCACTGGGAAGGGTAATGTACTTAGAGGCTCCCTTCCCAAGCCCCAGGTTGGCTTTGTCAACAG